GTCACCGCTTCAAGCTTGTGATGGGGTGTAATAGGATGGGGTATATTTTCTTGGCACACTTTGGGACCTTTAGCACCAAATGAGAACCTTTTAAACACCAGTTACCCAACTATCGTTGCTGACTATGTCCATCCCTTTATGACCACAGTGGAACAACCTTCTAATCGTTGCTTCCAGCAGGATAACAAACAATGCCACAAAGCTCAAATCATCCCAAACAGTTTTTTTTGGATAGGACACTTTACGCAGATGACCTCCGCAGTCAGCTGATCTCAGTCCAATAGACCATCATTGGGATCTGGTGGAACAGGATTCTCATAAATGATGTGCAGCTGAGAAATCTGCTAAGAACAGGAAAGAAAGGCTACAGTTCCCACAGACTCATCAAAACTGGATAATAGAAGACTGGGGAAAAAAATACCATGAAAGCACAGATCCATTCTTCCATGCACCAACAGTTCAGGCCGTGACATGACAGTGAGTTCATTGTTCTCATTGGCCTCTACAGTCAGCTGATCTCAGTCCAATAGAGCATCTTTGGGATCTGGTGGAACGGGATTCTCATCATGGATGTGCAGCCAACAAACCTGGAGCAACCGTGTGATCCTATCATGTCAAAATGGACTAAAATCTCTGAGGAATATTTCCAGCACTTTATTAAGAGTTCTGAAGGAAAAAGAAGATCCTACACAGTATTAGCACTGTTTACCTAAGAAAGTAGCCAATAAATGTATATTGAACTGATGTACAATGTGATACTTTCATACAACCGTAAGGTAAATTAACAACTAAAATGACTTTAAATCAGTATCAATGCTCTAAGCCAAATTGGTGCAGTGTTTGAGGTACTTGGCAGGTACTATAGCACATGTAGGGCTCACTCCTTGAGCGCAGTGTGAATGAAGATAGTTCCTTATGATTCTAACTGTATGAGTCCAGTCATGAAACTCTGAGAGCTTTAGAGGTTGGGACCAATCAAACCAAAAGGGTTTTTTGTTTGTTTTTTTATACAGTAACATCATAGAGTGACTAATAATGCAGAAAAACAAAGCTTATTTAGGCTATATAGCACCATCAGCTGGTGGAATCACAAATTAGACATTGGCACACAGTCATTAACACATTTTCCCAGACATGGGTTAATTTAAACTGAGACTGTGGCTGATAAACATCTGACACTCTTTGCCCAGGGGACAAGTTAAAAAAAAAGTGCAAAGTTCAAACAATGTGGCTGAATTTGAGCTATTTCCTGTAGCTGTAGCTATTTTTTGTGTTGTATGCTCACAGTTGAACGATTTGTTTAGACCAGTCCTTTCTTCCTAGTGTCCACTTTCTCATCAGTGCCCAGGAGATCCATTAAACTTTATCCTGAGTACTTCATTTGCTGTGAACACATCAGCAGGAGGGAAAATTCTTGTCTTTCACTGCTCACTTTTCTGTCCATCAGCCTTTTCTGTTTAGAGAAAAGAAGAAACAACAGCTGGTTGCAGGTGGACAGTGGGGGTGTAATGTATGAAACCAGCTGTGCAATGTAGGAAACCCTTGATAGTCACCTTTAGGGATAAACATAAGTGAGCTGCTGAAGATTCAGAAGCGTGACAGCCCTTCTCTTGGTCCATCATACAAGAACTCGTGACCCAGTCCATTGCCACACTTCCCACAACAGACCTAAGTATTTTAATCCAGATTGTGCAAGTCAAACCTTATACCTGATTGGTAACAGTGTTAAATCACATCTAGTCCAGCTTATTATTTGAAGCTTCCTAACAAATGTTGTTTACTACCTTTATCGGTCCCCAAGCTTCAGGGTGTTTTGAGACACTGTCTTCACGGATAGTCTGTGAAAACGCCGGCCACGGAGAAGAGTGCTCGAACTTCGACATGCTTGAAAATAACTCGTGGCCACATTCGGAGCACACATATATACCTGAGAATGAGGAAAGAGGCACAGTCTTCTATATTTTTACAGCAGTGTCTTGTTACACAGTCACATGCAGCCTCACACTTTCTTTCACTCACCAGGCTGGAAGTGATTTTTATATTCTTCACCACCAGAAAAAGAGCAGTGAGACATTTCATCCATTTCAGTCAAAAGTCATCAGAGCCAAAGCAGTTTATCTCTACAGTTGCCCAGCTTAGGCCTGAAAAACCTTCGTGCACAGATCAAGTGTCAGCAGCTCCGTGACTCTTGTGTAATGCCCGATCCTTCTCTCATTGCTTCCACCTGGTGGCAATTTTCTGAAAAACTAAAATGCATACCTACTTACCTTCATTCACAAATACTGGAACAAAAAATTCATCAACCAAATGAATATAAAAATATAATCATTAACAAATAGTCTATTTATAATTTAAAATATATTTTTTTATTGCTGTGTATTCAGGTTATTGTGACCTATTACATAAAGCCTCTCTAGAGAGAGAGGTATATTGCACAGGAATCATTTCATTCAATGAAAAAGGTTTGCGTGGCCCCTAATTTTCAACACCAAGCGCCTTAAACAAGAGTTTAGGACATTTTTTTTTTTTTTTTAAATGAGCAATCTTTGGAAAAGATTCATGGGACGACTGTGATAAGTACTGCACTGTCAATCGAAATAAAAACCAAGGAGACATGGAGACATTGAGGTTGTGATCAATAAGTTGCAAAGTCTGTGATGATTGCATAGCAGATGTGTTGAAAGCTGTCCTCTGTTCTTGCTGTCTAGTGAGACCACCGTCCATCAGAGCTCTGGTGCTCCCACGCTGGGCTTTGTCCCAGAGTACTTCATTGACTGTTCACACCTTTAGCAATGCAAAGAGACATCCATCCAGCAGCACTTACTCCTGAAATCTCACCTTACAGTCCATCAACTTTATCTGTGGACAAGGGACAAAGAAAAGGAGATGGAATATGTAAATCTTGATGAGCACAGTTAACTGTGAAACTCTTCTGAAGAAATGTTTAAACTCTGGTTTGATTTTAACTAATACCTTTGAGGACTGTGTCACAACAGTAACACATCCTTAGGCTCCTCTACACTACACACATGAACGAGGACATAACATTCTGGTTTTAAAGCAAATTTAAAGATGAAAAAATAACATGGGAGCTGGTTAACAACACTAGAACTTTGAGCTCACTGCAAATCGCGATTCTTAGGCTCATATCACAAATTATAACTTGACAGGTACACTAGTCTCAACCTCGTGTGGAGAAATAGCCTGGCTGTTTATACCTTTAGGGATGAACTTCAGTGAGCTGCTGAATATTCAGAAGCGAGAGACTCCTTTGGACGGCCCATCATTCACAAATTCATGACCAAGTCCATTCCCACACTTCCCACACCGCACCTTGAACAAGACAAAAGTGACAGATAGAAGAGAAAAAAGTGATAGAAATTAATTAACCAGCATTTAGAGCAGCCAAGAAAGTCCATCACAGGAGTCCTCTGACTTACAGCCAGCTAGTGCTTGAGAGTAGGTTCAAGATTCCTTATTCGTCACATGCATAGTTATACAAGTATAACACACAGTGAAATGTAACATGACACGCCTCTCGACTTGTGCAAAAAGAGGGGGTGGGGGGAGGAAGAACATTATACATAATATATACATTAGGTGAATGTGCATTAGTAGCATGTATAAAGCAAGCAGGTGAATGAAGTGATATAAATCCTATTCAAACTGGTTCAAACTGATCATACACATGTGAAACTGCGCATGGGCAGTTGAAAAAGAACCTAGTCAATTAAAAACTTAAAACTATTTTAATTATGGTACCTTGTATGCCCCAGGCCTCTCCTCATGTTTGGACACACTGTTTTCATGGATGGTCTCTGTGAAAGCTGGCCAGGGTGAAGAGTGTTCGTACTTGGAGCGGCTGGAGAACAACTGGTTATCACACTTGGTGCACACATAAATCCCTGAGGAATAATAGGCAGGAGACTGTTATGTAACATGAAGCGATAGTGTCTCTACTGCAGTTTTAAAATAATATGTACATTTATATAATATATACAGTTATTATATATACACACAAACACACACACACACACATATATATATATATAAAGATTTTTTTTTACATCGTTTGAAACACTAATTCTTTAAAGATATCGTTACCTTTTTAGCTGTGGTTAAGGGTATGTAAAAAAAAATTAATGACATCCTTGTATGTGAAGCTTAATCTAGTTTGGTAATCTGGTTGTTATGTAACTTGAACATGGTTACACAACAGGTTGAACATTTTTCGCTATTTACATCACAATCACCTGCGACCATGGATATAAAAACAGTACTTCCTAATAGGTTTTATAGGACAATGAGTACGAGTTAGAACGAGCTAACCAGCAGTTTGAAAAGTTATTTGTGCTGTATTGGATAGTTCACCTGTCTCCAAAACCGATTAAGTTATATAGAAACATTAAATAAAATACAATAAGTTTAAACAAAAAAAGTCATAGCGGTACCTGACTTAAAATGGTCTTTGAAGACCTCTCCACCGAAGAAAGAGCAAAAAGACATCGCTTTTTCTTTCCGTATGTTCAACGTGAACCTACACTGAAGTCCACAGAAAGAACCGGTTGAAAACAAAACAACTTCCGGTCCAAGTTTTTGACCTTCAAACTAAAAGCATCCTGCTACTTTTTTCTTTTGTTTCTTTTTTCTTTTTTTGTGGGTAATGATCAATGACTGTATGGTACATTTCACCGTCATCCAGTGATTCCTTTTGTGAACCTGCAAATATGAAAATACAGCAAAACTTTTTTAATTATTTCTATATATGAACCCTCAATGTTCCGCATATTGAAAGGCTTCATCAATGTGAAACCTAGAGTATTTAGAGCACGAATTAAGTTCAGCTTTTATATTAGATTTTTTTCTGGATTGTTTTAGCCTCGATGTAATTTGTATTTTGCTGTTGTAACTCCCAAAAATGTGACTTCTACTTGCACATTCCGTGTACGCTCCAATTTTGAAAGGCCTAAACCGGAGGTAACATAGTGGCTTCTTAACTGTCCATAGGCTGTTGGGCTGATGCTCTGAGTACGTTGGAGTTTGTCTTTTTTTAAACAAACAAAAAAAAACTTTCTTTCTCTTTTTTTTGGTAACCGTTGCTGTTTTTGTTTCTTATCGCCCACCTGAGGCACGGACGCCACGATGTTTCAGCTCAGGTTGTTTGTTCACCAGCGCCTGTACGCTGCAGCTGAAGAGATCCTCGGGCAGATGGAGAACACCATCACGTTAGTTTTGCACGAGGCAGACGTTCGAGCTAAAGAGGAGGCGGAAAGTCTGCGACACCAGCTGAAATCAGGTTTAGGACGATTCTTTACATTTTTTTGTCATGTTTTTTGTAGTCGTATCTTTATAAACAGCTTTGTGGCTATGAATGATGTTCACGCATGCGCAAATAATTCACGCGCGGAATACCAGAAATACAAAGCTAACAAATAGTAAGGTAGCACTTAATCATCACAGAATAAGATAAAGGTAGTTACTCCAATGATATCAATTTGTTCAGCTGTGAAGTACAAACCATCGTAAATGCATTTCATCTGCTTTGGTGAATGAAAGTGACAAAAGTTGCACTGGTGAGGGAACGACAAGAAAACCCGCAAGTATAGTTTCATGCTGCCAGAAGTGACAAGGACTCTAGCAAGAAACATAACTGGAGAAGGGTGGTCGGAAAGTATAAGGAGATGGCAATGATCTGCAGCCACCACCTGCAAAACCAACACCTTTTTGTCTTATTGTTCTCTCTCCAGTGTACCTGCCATCACTTTCGTTTGTAACAAAAGAGCTGAATTTAATTTGCAATGGTTCCTGCTTCCTAACTGGGCAGATTGATATCCCTTAGGTCTGACTTTGTGGTATATTCTGATAATCAAGTGTTCCCTAGCTCCAGGTGCTCCAGGTAATAACTGACATTCACAAGTATGCTCAGTTACATAGTTATATAAATTATATATATGTTAGATAAAGCATTTCTTGGCAAAAAATGCAATGTGAATGTTGAAAATTTGAAGATTTTGCCTCAAATATTAAAAAAAGATTTTTTTTAAAGATACTCCATAGGACGTCTTCACCTAACAGTATTTAAAAATGTGGACGTGCACACGTTTACTCTCACGAGTGAGTTGTGCATCGTTATTACCTAACACTATTAAAAAATATATGCACACACACATTGATACACACCTGCCTCTGTGTTTCTCTTCCAACCAAGCAGTCTGAGTCTATGACTGTCTTTTATACAGTCATTGATCTGAAGGTGCTGAATTTGTATCCACCAATCAGGAGCAGCTTGTGTCTCTTTCCTTATTTTTCCTACTGAAACTCAGAAGAAATCACTGCTGAGATACCCAGAAACAAACGGTTGCCACACGAAAACCTTAGGTCCCACTGACAAACTTTTGACACTACGAGCACAAGGAGATTTTACTAAAGCAGGATATGTGTTTTTAAAAGACACAAAACGCTAAACATTTGATACCGGAACAGTTTCTGTAAGCACAAAGTATGCAGAAGAAGTTAAGTGCCAAAAAATGTGCAGGAGGGTAACAATAATGTGAATGTATTCACATTAAGCAAATGCTTAAACAGGAGATAGTTAGTTCGTGATATTATTCATTACACTTACCTAAATTTACTGATATCATATTAAAGACATTGGCCTGGATAGCAATAGCAATTTATAGCCAGCAGCCTGTCTTATTTATGTTTTGTTTTTGTTTGTTTTTTTAATACCATTTTCAAGCAAATATATTATTTTTTCTTTTATTTTGATTAGAATGAAGATTTAAGGTCGGGTGAACTCCATTGGATTTTTGGTTTTTGAGGGGCCGCGTTACTCTTGACTTTAAGGCTTGACTGCTTTAATCCAATCCAATCCAATTTTATTTATAAAGCACTTTAAAATACAAAGCACAGGACCAAAGTGCTGTACAGAAAATAAGTTAAAACAATAGAATAACAGAAAATAGCAAAAATAAATAAATAAACACATAATACATGAAAATTAAAACAGCCCTATATTAAAAAACAAGATAAAACAGCATAGAATCCACTAAAAACAACTAAAATAAAACCAAAATCTCACATGTTGGTCTCTCTTAACTCTATTTAGAGGTGTGAAGAGCACTTTTCCAGAAACTCTCAGGACAGCATTTTCTAGCACTTACATTTATTTCCATTTAAAAGCAAAGAGGAAACCCTACAGGTGATTGGGTAACATTTGTGGATATTTTCCTTTGTAGCTGAAGAACTTCCAATGACCAACAGTGCCGTCCAACATGGAGATGAATGTGACTCCCCGCTGCTGCAGGAGTGCGAGGGACCCACAAACACAGAAGAGTTTGACTTGACACCGAGCCCTGAGAATCCAGGAACCCCTGAGCCCACTGCAGATCTAAGCAGTAACAGTGGGAACTACTGCCTGGTGGAGAGGCCTGAGGTGAAGATGGAGCAGGAGGAGCATAGGAATGAGAGTTTTTTCTCTCCTCCAGGAACTGTGAAAAGTGAGGAAGAACAGTCGGACACGCAAATACATGAAATGCAGATGCTTTCTTCAAACTTGTCTGCAGCAGTTAGTGAGGAGACGGAGAGAGGAGAACAGGCCATAACTGTGAAACAGAGAGCAAAGATGATGCAAGGTGACGGCATCAGTGACGGCAAGAAAGCCCAAGCAGCTTTGTCTTATAAGAACTGCTCGGTTAAAAGGAAAAAAGGTCGCAAGTTTTGCCATTTGTGCGGGAAGCGTTTTCACTACACCGCCTCTTTAATGAAGCACATCAAAACGCACGAGAAGTGTACCAGTTGCATTATTTGTGGGATGAAATACGGGTGTCCAAAAGAACTTGTTTTCCATTTGAAAAAGAAACACAGAGATGCATATTTTTGTGATGTTTGCGGTAAAACTTTTTTCAAAGTCCGCAGCCTCCAGACTCACGAAAGAAAACACACACTGACGAAAGAGTTTGTGTGTCAGGAATGTGGCAAAACGTACCGGTATAAACACTGTTTGATTACGCACATGAAGAGCCATTCTGGGGAGTAACCATACCCTTGCGATATTTGTGGTATGCGCTTTAGTCAAAATTCATACATGACATGACACAAGACCACCCATATGGGCGAGAAGCCTTAGCCTTGCTATATGTGTTGTTTGCACCTAATCTCAAGTTGCATTTGCAAACATGTATCAAAGCAGAGTGATCCCTTTTTTTCCTGTCTAGTTGAAATTGGATAGCTTTTAATATCATCCACTTAACACGACTGTGCCTGATGTGGTGTCAAATAACTGTAATTCATAATGTTTGGTTTGCTTTAAAGACCATTGCATCATTTCTACAGCTATATGCTGCTGTTGGTTAACACGATTTTGCTGTTTTCCCTAGTGGGCTTTGATGCAAGATTAGTTCAACTTTGACTGCATGAGTACGAGTGTAGAACAACACATCTGCAGCTCTTGTTGCCCTCTGTGATGCTCTGGTGTTGTGAGTTTAATTTCCACAGTTGACACTAAGGTTTAACATTACGGTGATCCACTTGTCTCTGGCTGCAGCCATGACGTGCATACATTTAGATGGTAAATGGTGTTAAATGTAATATTGGTATGTGTATTGTCTCAGATCTGTGGATAATGTAGATAATGCATGTGGATTTTTTTCAATATGTTATTACTTCATAAAACTCTGCATTTTGATGGATTAGAGTCTGGGAGTCCTTTGAATGAAGGGAAAGAAGCTTTTGATTATTTATTTTTAAACGATGTCTTTATGATGCCACAAAATTAGGAAGTTCAGTAGATTTCATAGGAGCTTATTTGTTTCTTTGTGTCAATTTTCAACAGTTTTCCTGTTATTTTGAATTCCAGTAAAACTTCTGAGAAAATGCCTAAATCAGGATAAAGAAACTTCATTTGTTTTTTGTATTTATCAACTACAATACTTCTTTGACTGAAAGTCATGATCTAATCGCAATATTTGATGATCTCATAATGAAAAGACCTTTGTAAATATATACATTTTTTAAGTGTTATGAAAAAGACAACAATCAGAGACTCGGAATGTCAACACACATGCAGTAACTTAATTAAACTCCTGCCATCATGGCTTTAAAAAAAGCATTAAAAGTCATTTAGGTTGTTGCAGTTTCTTTTTTGGTGTGTTGGGAACTAGATCACCACCCTTCAAATGAGATTGTGCATGGGGTGTATCCTAATAATAAATAACTTTTCTTTACATTTTTATCTACTTTAGCAAATTTAATTTTGTGCTATTTTGCAACTGGCAGCATGCTGACATGCTGAAGTGAGATTGTGATATTCTTGCATTTAAATGCTTGAATGTTTTCTTTGCAGGATGAGAGATCAAAATAAAGAGGAGCAGTTATGTGAGGCTGTGGATAGCATCAAGGAGAGCGCTCTCAGTGGTGCTTAATGGAGTAGTTTTGGGGGAATTGCTGTTTAAAACTGGCCCCTGGGCTCAGAAGATTACACATGAAAGAGAGGGTCATTTTGATAATAGTTCTTTCAAAGCGGTTCTTGACTGCAACAATGAGACTTAGCAAGATCAAAAAAGTACGAACACTTTATAAGAGTAGAGGAGCTACTAAAAGCACACGACAGCCTAAACCCATTCACAGTGTTAACTGAGTGTTGTTTTTTGCCCTGACTCATGCTTCTTATTAAGTGCACCTGCTTAAAACCCTGTTTGCCTTTAGAGCTGCTCAAAGTCTCTTAAATCACCTTTCTGATGCTCATTTAGAAACTCATGTTGCAGTTTGAACTGGATTAAACACCCTGATTATTAATTTTCAGTTGGAAGAATGAAACACCTGCACTCTGTCTGCAATTACTTGGTCATCTCCAGTGAAGGTGAAAGATCAGAAGGGTTATGACGAAACAAACCTGACCTCTCAACTGGAGCCACTTCTGACAGTGCACGGACTATGCTGTCTTTGCACCTTTGTTAAATGTAGCATTTAGATTACTTCTGAATCACTGAATGTTGTTTTTATGTTACACCGTGAGCCCCAAAAGCCACGTGGGTCTGTTCTCCTATGACAGGGGTAGGGAACTCCAGGCCTCGAGACCGAGTGTCCTACAGGTTTTAGAAGTGTCCTTGATCCAACACAGCTGGTTTCAATGGCTTAATTACCTCCTCAACATGTCTTGAAGTTCTCCAAAGGCCTGGTATTGAACTAATCATTTGATTCAGGTGTGCTGACCCAGGGTGAGATCTAAAACCTACAGGACATCTGCTCTCGAGCCTGGAGTTCCCTACCCCTGTCCTATGAGATCACAGGAGGGGCCGTAGGGGTTTGGCGCTTAGTGGATTGGGTGGCAGTCAGAGGCAGAGGTCTTGGCCCCCAATCTCTGGCCTCCAAAATTGGCTTGTGGTGCATGGGATGTCACCTCACTGGTGCGGAAGGAGCCCAAGCCTGGTGTGTGAGGTTGGGAGTTAGCAAATATATATATAGTCTGGCTCATCTCAATGCATAGCTCAGGCTCTGGAACCAGTGTTCAGGAGAGGGGTTAGACTCTGTTCCACTCTGGAATTCACTGGCTGTATATTAGGATTTACCCCAGTGGATTAGAGAATTGCTTACCTGTGCCTTCAAGTCGGGAAACAGGTCCTGACTATCGATGGTGCCTATACACCAAATGACAGTTCAGTTGTTGTTGTCTGTGTTTTTGCATCTTATCTCCCACCTGAGACAAGGACGGCATGACGTTTCAGCCGTGGTCATTTGTTCACCAGCAGCTGTACGCAGCAAAGGAGATCCTCGAACAGCAGGAGAAAACAATCACAGAAGTACTGCATGAAGCAGAAGTTAATCAACTCTAATGATGAGGGGGAAAGTCTGCGACACCAGAAATCTGGTTCAGTTCTTTAAATTGTTTTTCTAGGCTTATCGAGTGGAAGCTTTATAACTAACTATGGATGGTGCTACACACATGCACACACAGTCGACGTACATAGTACCAGAAAGCTACACCGCTGCTATAACGAAACAAATAAAAACATACAAGTAAAATACTCACAAAGCATTTTTGCGATGTTGGTGGTAAGACTTCTTACCGGATGCATGGACTCCAGATTCATAAAAAAACACGCACACACACATTAGTGTGCCAAGAAAGTGGCAAAACACTTCACCGCAGAGATAATCTCACTGTGCGTGTGAGGACCCAATCTGGGGAGAAACGTACCACTGTGGAGAGTGTGGCAGACTTTTTTCTGCAAAGCAGTCGCCTGAAAATACAAATGAGGTACCATTCAGGAAAACAAATGGACCCTTGTGATGTTTGCAGACCACACATGTGGAAGAAAAGCCTTACACCTGCAATTTTTGTAACTACAGTACTCTCTTTGCCTCTAGCTGTAATTTTAATTTGAACTAAGCAAATATGTTAAGTAGCTGCAGAATAATCAGTATGGTTTTCTGTGTGAATGAACTAGATTTAACTAGAGGAGTGGTAATACAATAGTATTACAAACTATTCCACCATATGAACCTGAAATCTGTGGAAGAGCTGAGCTGTGCAATGGTAGAAAAAAAACAACGAAATTTGAATTTGTGTGTAAATTTGTGCATTTTTGTCTTTTTCTTCTCCAGACTGAGGCTGCTGACACTTAATAAAGTCTGACACACAAACACAGTCATGTTAACAGCTGCATTTTGATAGACATTTCAATATCAGGTGTATGGATCTGATACAGAGGAGTTTTAAAAAATGAACTACATGAAAACTGCTGTGAGTGCACACTGCTGAGAAAAGACCCACAGAGATTCTCACAGAGAGTCGGTTCAGCAAAGTTTGCTGCAAACCTTACTACACCCCGTTTTATGTTCATTTAAACATTCCCTTGCCAAATATATATGTGCTGTGAAGTACATCGCTACAAATACATATGCAGTAAGGCCAGCCAGCATGCTGCATCCATGCTTTTCAGACCCAGAGCTGATGCTGCACCTCGTTACTAAATCCAACACTGGCTTTTTGATGATAAAAGAGGCTTTTTCTGAGCCGTGGACACACTGTATTTAGATTTCCCTTCAGACCCTGCAGGGGAGGTCTGCATACAAGATGCATGCAGACAACCATTTAGCTCTGCACCACCACAAATCATCATGTACTTTGTTTTTCTTCTTCTGTCAGACGTTCAAAATACAATATTGAAATATCAGTCAGATATCTGTCCAGTACTCTGAGCTGTCAGACTTTGACATGAAAAGCATCAGAATTCATAAGATAATAAGTAAAGGTGAGAGTGCATGCAGCTATCCCTTAAGGGGGGAAGTAAGAAGATAGAGCTGATGAAGATTCGGTTTAGTTTTATTTATATAACCCCAAATCACAACAACAATCGCCTCAAGGTGCTTTATACTTAAAAGACCCTATGGCCCTCTGTGAGCAAGTGTTTGGTTACAGTGGGAAGGACAAACACGTTTTTTATGGAAAGAAAACTCCAGCAGAACCAGGCACAGGGAGGGTCAGCCATTTACTGAGACTGGTTGAGGGTCAGATAAGGGAGGACAAAAGTCACAACGTGGAAGAGAGCCAGAAAAATTATAATAACTAATGATTAAATGCAGAATGGTGTGTTAACACCAACTCAGAGAAAGTGACTGAAGAAGAAATGAAAAGTGCATCACTGGAAGCTCCCAGAGGCCTATTGCAGCATAACTGAGGGAAGATTCAAGGTCATCTAATCCAGCCATAACTATAAGCTTTATCAAAATGGAAAGTTTTAATCCTAATTTTTAAAGTAAAGAGAGTGTCTCTCTCCCAAATACGAACTGGGAGTTGCTCCATAAAAGAGGAACCTGAAAGCTGAAGGCTCTGCCTCCCATTTTACTTTATCCTATCGAACCAGATGATGTTATCAGGGCTCTAGAGTGCCCTGATAAATGCGACCAAATTTTTCAGTGGTGCGACTAAAAATAAATATTTGGTCGCACAGGTGCAACCAACTGTTCCGGTAACAAAAAAAAAATCTCTGTAACTCTCCGTGTGGTCAACAACAGACACACATTATGCACCTATCGTGGACTAAACCAATCAGAGATAGTCAGGGGCGGGACCTCTCTGATTGGCCGTGGTCCAGTTGAAAGTGCAGGTGGAAGAGAGAGGTGAGTAGCTTGAATAAAGCGATATCAATTCATTAACGGATTCCACACAAAGACCTAAACACGGAGCGGACCCAACACATCAGAATCAGCTTCGTCTTTCTCGGCTTTCTCACCCGACGGCCTGAACACGGACACGCTGTCGGAGCTTAGCGATTCTTCGGGTCCGCGCTGTGTTTACGTCTTTTTGCGCTGATTCTGAGCTGCAGGTTTTGCCTCTCTCCAACCAAAATTCACCGAGCCTGCAGCAAAAGAAGCAGCAAACTGCGCTTCACATTTGATAAATGTCGTCATGAATTCCCTCTGACTTTTGCTGTTTTGCTTCCACCACGATAAAAATCACACTTCCTGCACAGCTCTCTCTCTCTCTGTACTTCAGGAACAGTTTCCCGTCTCAAATCTGTTTTCTGCATTATTCATTCGCTTATTACCCACCAGTCTAGCGTTGTTTACAGCGCTTTTTCTTTTTTCACTTAAATGACCTCGGACAAGAAAGCCTAATTTCTGCTGTTCAATACTGAAGAAATTTAAATTTCTTAAAATTATGCAAAATTGCAGAATATTTTTAAGG